GAAACTTTCCCCATTTTATTTCAGGAAAACATTCACCAGTTACTTCAGGGAAACATTCACCAGTTACTTCAGGAGAAACATTCACCAGTTACTTCAGGAGAAACATTCACCAGTTACTTCGGGAAAGAAACATTCCCCAGTTACTTCAGGAGAAACATTCACCAGTTACTTCAGGAGAAAATTCCCAGTTACTTCAGGAGAAACATTCACCAGTTACTTCAGGAGAAACATTCACCAGTTACTTCAGGAGAAACATTCACCAGTTACTTCAGGAGAAACATTCACCAGTTACTTCAGGAGAAACATTCACCAGTTACTTCATACAACACTATTAAAAACCAGAAGCTGTATTTCTCAAATGTACAGAACATAATGTTTATAGACTAGGTTATAAAGTGTAGATTTACGCCTACATAGCCTAAATCTAAAACGTTTCATCCATTCCAAAGCCTAATTCATTTATGGAAGTCATTCAGAAGTCTACTCTAGATGTATAATGGAAAATACTTCTGTACCATTTCGTAATTATAACTGCCATAATGGTACCTACACACTTGGTTAACAAGGCCAACGTTCTTCCATATAGGACGCAAGAGTTTCCAACGTATGAAGCCGACCAGAAGAGGCGTTCTGAGGTAATTAGCAAGAAAACCAAAATCGACAAAGATTCGTGTAAAATTCTGCAGAGGGCACCTACACAGGCCTGGAACCTTGCCCTAGTTATGGCTCACTAGGGTTAGTCGCATTAGGATTTCTGAAGTTAACTACAGTTCTTGAAGGAACTTGGTGGAATACAAGAAAACTGTACTTACCGGTAATAACCTCTGACTTCAGCACAAATAACTAAACCATAATACTTTGATATATTACTCTTTATACATCCATTGAACAACTTCTTAACACTCTTCAAAGCACCAGCCACTTTCTTGCCTTCGTCTATTCCCCGATTCTTCTATTCTTTCATATATGCATCTTCCCCACACATCCTCTCCCAGATACCTCAATATATTCACTTCTTCCGGACTTCATTTCTACCTGACTTCCAATCTTTCGCGTCACAGACATCATTTTACTCTAATCACTTTATCTCACTGTCAGCATTCATTTCAGCTTTCTTCTTTTACAAGCCCTCCTCGACACTTTTTCAGTTCCGGTAACTAGTTAGTCTGGCGTTGGGGGGAAGGGGGGGAGGACTGGCGTTGGGGGGGTCGGAGGCTGTAATGGGTGATACCATCCTTCATCACCCGATCTGCTGAAGTCTGTCTGTCTCTGTCTGTCTCTGTCTGTCTCTGTCTGTCTCTGTCGTGTCTCTGTCTGTCTCTGTCTGTTCTGTCTGTCTCTGTCTGTCTCTGTCTGTCTCTGTCTGTCTCTGTCGTCTCTGTCGTTTGTCGTCTCTGTCGTTCTGTCTGTTCTCTGTCCGTCTGTCTGTCTCTGTCGTCTCTGTCTCTCTGTCGTCTCTGTCTTCTGTCTCTCTGTCTCTCTGTCTCTGTCTCTCTGTCTCTGTCTCTCTGTCTCTGTCTCTGTGTCTGTCTCTGTCCGTCTCTGTCCGTCTCTGTCTCTGTCTGTCTCTCTCAGGTCGATGTATCTATCACGCTGTCTCATCTGAGTTTAATTTTCTCTAAGTGTTTATTTTTATTTGCTACCGATGTTTAAAGTAGAACCTCCACTAGAAGGTTTAATATAAACCTTGCCTTTACCTATGGAGCTTCAGTCTCTGGCTCGGTGGATTTTAAACTCTAAGAGGTTCACATTCTGTACCTTAGTCAACTTTTCAAGGAACAGTTCCTTGATAATGTGAGAAATCACGAAAGCGCTTGCAATTTCACTATTTTTTTCAGTGTTTGTTTTGCATATTGTGATATAATCTGTTTACTGTGATCTTATTGTATAAATTATTATAATCATGGGGGGAGCGCTAAATCCGTCTGGATTATACAGCGCCTGTAGGGGGGGGGGAGGAAGGTATTTAGACTCAGCTCAAGGAACTGGAGAACAGATCCAATTCCCTAGATCAAGAACCCTACACAAGCGTCAAGGAACTTCCCTTGAGGGGTTATTGCATAAATATATATATTAAATTTATATAAATGGATTAATTGGGTTTGACCACTATAGAGTACATTAAAGGTCATTAAAGGTCTATGTAAACTTCTTCACCAGTCCAGAAGACTTCAGTCCCTCTTGTGGGCCTATTGAAAACTAAAGTAAAATGTGTATGATAGATATACTCTTCCAGATCAACATACACTGTTGATCTCAAGTCATGCACCTCAGCAGTTGTATATTCGTTAGAATATACACAGTGGGAGCAGTTTGAAATTATAAATGTCTGGGCATATATTTTTTACAACAGTATTGGATATATTTCATGTTTTTTATTTCGGCATGTCAGTTATATAAATCTATTTAAAATTAATGCTCCACGTTACTTGGGGGACCTTGCCAGCCTCCCTGACGTGGTTTCGAATCCTGCTGAGTGTGATCTTTCTCTGTAAAATTATATAAATCTATAACATTTCGCCAGATAATCAGTAATTACTGTTATTGTTTATAAGATTTTGGGGATAATAATACTCTTTTGGTAGATTTTGATTTATTGGTTTGGATATTCTTCAGACTAATTCATTACCTGTAGTTACTTACAATACAGTTAAATACTTTCGTGTGATTTACTTGTAAATGTAAATGCCAGTTTAATACAAAATCCACATTATGTCAATTACATTCCTAGGGTGATTTTTATCACTTCGAATTAACATGTGAATCATTCTGAGAGGATACTGATACTTGGTGTCAGAGAATACCCTTTGCTTCAGCCCTGATATTTTTTTGGGGTAAAAAAAAAAAAACGGGCTATCCTTCTTGCTGGGGGTATTACTGATGCTTGTATGGTATCAAGAATGACCGTCCGATATACCAGGACCAGACGCGTGCCTTGGGTGTTTCGGGTGACCTCTTCAACTGTTGTCTGAGATCCTCTCGTAAAGGTCAGAGTGCAACGTCCGTACTGCGGGAACCTAGCGCCAAAGTCACATTATGGCACTTGTTTTAGGTCCTTGAAAGGACGATCGCTTCACTCGGATCTTGTACGGGAGATGGCACTCTTGTAGAGGTCGTTTTCCCCATTGGCACTTCGTGGTGGGGTCCGCATATAATCGTCCGTTGTTAAAGGGCCTGTTATCTTTTGTCACATCTTAGATATATGGTACAGATCCTGTCTGTCGTACGTTATACGAAGACCTGTAATCCCACGTCTCCCGTGGGTGACTCGTCATGCAGGTTCAGATGTAAAGGTTCGTCTTCCACACACCTGCTATCCAAAGTCACATCTTGGATTTCTATTTACGGGCCGAGGTTGCACGAGCCGCTATAACTGGACCTGCTGCTTCAGCACCCAGCAGGAGATAGTCGGAGACCAGGAAGTCGAACAAATCAGACTTGATATCCCTCGATGATGAGCTGTTGAGGATAATGAAATGGTGTAAGTAGTGACGTACATTACTATCTTGTGTTGAAAGGGAAAAGTGGTAATTTAGAGACTATGAACATTAGGATTATCAGCTGACGAATGAAGGTCTGGGTACGGAAGCCAAGAAAATTTAATGTCATTGACAAAGTAAATCACTTGAGAGAAATAAACAAAATGTGGAAAAAAAATCTATAGTTGGGCAATGACGATTGAGGCAATTAAGATACACTGTAAAATACACAATAAAACTTTCATAAAAATAATTCTGGATAAATATATTTGCTACTTCGTAAACACGGATGTTACTGAAGTTAATTCTCAGCTCAAGGTGATCTTCAGAGTGCTTGAAGGATTTTTTGCTCGAAACGTTGATTACCTGATTACCTCCCATTCCCCATGCGCTGTATTGCTCCTGCGGATTTAGCACTTTCCCCAAGAATACAATAATAATCACCTTGAGGGGGTCATTTTGCATCTCGTCAGCGTGTTGGCAGGAGTATCGCGAGTGGCTTGAGTATGTAGCCAGCCTCGCCCACAACCCTGCAGCCTGTGTTGGACATAGGCTGTGGTGGGCAAATTGCTGGGATTCTGAGAGGATGAACAAGAGTAAGTTTGTTTCCATCTTCCACCCACTGACTGACTCTTCTTGTTGGACAGGTCAGCCCGCTGTTGATTTGGTTGTTCCTCTGCATTAATCATCATATAACGAGGACAGAGGGACCAACCTATACTATCTGTTGAAGACAAAAAAACACGGTTAAGACCTACACACACACACACACACACCACACTGTCGACGGAGAGATGAGTAAATTCTTTGCCTCATCCGCATAAATTTGTTTTCCCGGCAACATTAACTTCTGCGTCGAGTATCAAAATATAAGCAACTCACGGTATATCACCAATACCTAAAGTGAGAAGTTCTTGTTTTGAAGACTTCTGATCACCTCTAGAATAGCAAAGCCGTCCATGATTCACATTTCACTATTTGCATAACTATCAAACTTATGGGTCAGGTGACTGCAACATGGGCAACACAGGATCACCGTGCAGAAACTACTGCAAGACTTGGCTTACCTAAAGATGTGACAATGTGCGTGTAATCTTGGCGAATTCTTGAGACGGGAATTGACGACAGGAAGTTCACTGGCAGTGACAACCACCTGTAAGACAAGACTGGTCAGTATTTGGATCGTAGGATGTGGGAAGGATGACCTTACGAGTATTTCTGTAGCCTGGTTGATAACTGCTATTTCTTGGTCGTTTTGATTCCTCGGCATCACTAAATTTCTTCTTCCTTGAACTTAACACTATTTTTGTGATTTTTTTTTTTAAATAATGCCGGTCCTTCAGTATAGGTGCTTTGTTCTGTTGAAAGGCTCTTGATTCAAGGAACTGAAACTATCCTCTCCTTGGTCAATAATTCCAATTCCTAGACGCTGTATGACCAATAGGTTTTTAATAATGAAAGACTGCTGCTGCTTGGAAACTAATCTCTTTCTCAAGTTTGAGCGTAATGACTATTTTTTTCAAGTTTTCCTTGAAATTAAACACTTCGCTCACGAGAATTTCCAACAGTCAGGCACAGACTGTCACTAAGATACATGAACCACGTGACTAGGTTAGAGCCACCTACTACAACATCCTTTTACCTTGGCACAGAAATCCACTTGTGACGATGTGACTGAAGACGAGACAACATTATCCAGTTGTTTGCTTGACCTATCGTGTACCTAAATGAAAAAAAATACATAAGTGTATCTAGCTAGCTAGGGACACGACAGAGAATGCCTTCGACGCCGGTGTTGCGGCCTTATATACCAGTCTACCGGGGAGAGTTACCACGCACTCTATTTCCAGTCACTTGTGATGGCTTTGGAGACTTCTGCTCTTGTCGCTGTTCACAAATTCCCACTTGAAGCTCTGGTGATTAGCATATTTACCTACTTATCTACTGTTACATCATACAGAAAAGTATTTGCGGAATGGCCAAAGGCTTCGTATTAGTACACAACATGGTGCAATAAGCATAGGGCTGGAAGCGGGGAACGCCGTGTGAGGGTCGAGTATGCATAAGGATCATCACTTCGGGGAAATACCACAATTTCTCTCTACTAAACGTTTGCACTCGTATCGTTCCCTGATTTGAGAAGCGCACTGTACACAAACCTGGGTCACAGGCCTGGTTATAAACCTGGGTCACAGGCCTGGTTATAAACCTGGGTCACAGGCCTGGTTATAAACCTGGGTCACAGGCCTGGTTATAAACCTGGGTCACAGGCCTGGTTATAAACCTGGGGCACGGCCTGGGGAATGAACCTGGGTCACAGGCCTGGTTATAAACCTGGGTCACAGGCCTGGTTAAAAACCTGGGTAAGGCCTGGTTATGAACCTGGGTCACAGGCCTGGTTATGAACCTGGGTCACAGGCCTGGTTATGAACCTGGGTCACAGGCCTGGTTATGAACCTGGGTCACAGGCCTGGTTATGAACCTGGGTCACAGGCCTGGTATGAACCGGGTCACAGGGCCCTGGTTATGAACCTGGGTCACAGGCCTGGTTATGAACCTGGGTCACAGGCCTGGTTATGAACCTGGGTCACAGGCCTGGTTATGAACCTGGGTCACAGGCCTGGTTATAGACCTGGGTCACAGGCCTGGTTATGACCTGGGTCACAGGCCCGGTTAAGACCTGGGTCACAGGCCTGGTTATAGACCTGGGTCACAGGCCTGGTTATAGACCTGGGTCACAGTCCTCGTTATAGACCTGGGTCACAGGCCTGGTTATAGACCTGGGGTCGCAGGCCTGGTTATAGGGGCCTGGGTCACAGGCCCGGTTATAGGACCTGGGTCGCAGGCCTGGTTATAGACCTGGGTCGCAGGCCTGGTTATAGACCCGGGTCGCAGGTGGTTATAGAACCTGGGTCGCGGCCTGGTTTTAGACCTGGGTCGCAGGCCTGGTTATAACCTGGGTCGCAGGCCTGGTTTATGACCTGGGGGCGCAGGCCTGGTTATAGACCTGGGTCGCAGGCCTGCTTATAGACCTGGGTCGCAGGCCTGGTTATAGACCTGGGTCGCAGGCCTGGTTATAGACCTGGGTCGCAGGCCTGGTTATAGACCTGGGTCGCAGGGGCCCGGTTTATGACCTGGGTCACAGGCCTGGTTATAGACCTGGGTCACAGGCCTGGTTTGTAGACCTGGGTCACAGGCCTGGTTATAGAAACCCGGGTCACAGGCCTGGTTATAGAAATGGGTCACAGGCCTGGTTATAGACCTGGGTCACAGGCCTGGTTTTAGACCTGGGTCACAGGCCTGGTTATGACCTGGGTCACAGGCCTGGTTAAAAGAACCTGGGTCACAGGCCTGGTTATAGACCTGGGTCACAGGCCGGTTATAGACCTGGGTCAAGGCCCGGTTATAGACCTGGGTCACAGGCCTGGTTTAATATTGCCTGGGTCACAGGGCCCGGTTATAGACCTGGGTCACAGGCCTGGTTATACCTGGGTCACAGGCCTGGTTTTTGACCTGGGTCACAGGCCTGGTTATAGACCTGGGTCACAGGCCTGGTTATAGACCTGGGTCACAGGCCTGGTTATAGACCTGGGTCACAGGCCTGGTTATAGACCTGGGTCACAGGCCTGGTTATAGACCTGGGTCACAGGCCTGGTTATGGACCTGGGTCACAGGCCTGGTTATGGACCTGGGCCACAGGCCCGGTCATCGACCTGGGCCACAGGCCGTCATCGACCTGGGCCACAGGCCCGGTCATCGACCTGGGCCACAGGCCCGGTCATCGACCTGGGCCACAGGCCCGGTCATCGACCTGGGCCACAGGCCGGTCATCGACCTGGGCCACAGGCCCGGTCATCGACCTGGGCCACAGGCCCGGTCATCGACCTGGGCCACAGGCCCGGTCATCGACCTGGGCCACAGGCCCGGTCATCGACCTGGGCCACAGGCCCGGTCATCGACCTGGGCCACAGGCCCGGTCATCGACCTGGGCCACAGGCCCGGTCATCGACCTGGGCCACAGGCCCGGTCATCGACCTGGGCCACAGGCCCGGTCATCGACCTGGGCCACAGGCCCGGTCATCGACCTGGGCCACAGGCCCGGTCATCGACCTGGGCCACAGGCCCGGTCATCGACCTGGGCCACAGGCCCGGTCATCGACCTGGGCCACAGGCCCGGTCATCGACCTGGGCCACAGGCCCGGTCATCGACCTGGGCCACAGGCCGGTCATCGACCTGGGCCACAGGCCCGGTCATCGACCTGGGCCACAGGCCCGGTCATCGACCTGGGCCACAGGCCCGGTCATCGACCTGGGCCACAGGCCCGGTCATCGACCTGGGCCACAGGCCCGGTCATTCGACCTGGGCCACAGGCCCGGTCATCGACCTGGGCCACAGGCCCGGTCATCGACCTGGGCCACAGGCCCGGTCATCGACCTGGGCCACAGGCCCGGTCATCGACCTGGGCCACAGGCCCGGTCATCGACCTGGGCCACAGGCCCGGTCATCGACCTGGGCCACAGGCCCGGTCATCGACCTGGGCCACAGGCCTGGTCACGGGGGCGTTGACCCCCGTAACCCTCTCCAGGTATAAACCACGGATGGGTTTAAAAACGTATTATTACATTTTCGTGAGTCGTGGACACAAGGTTTCTCCACATTTGAATTTATTTTTTAATTAAGGAATCTACTGTTTAGTTATTACATGCTTTATACATCTCAATTTTAGTGCTCTTATGAATGAGATTTTGAGAGCAAATTTCAATTGAAATAATTAAACTTTTTATACTTCATGAATGATAGTTACAAACTGAGACTTAATTTAGGCATTTTTATAAATTTACGTCCTACGACGTGGAAAAAATGACAAAAAAAAAAATTCTTTTTTTTGTGTGACACGGATTTTTGTGACTATTTCTGAAAATAGTAATGAGGATAGTGGCCAGATGCCAATAGTTGGTGACAATGGCGGATGCAATAGATTCATTTAATTGTACGTCGTTTTGCCCACCATTTGGCTTCACGAAATAATGGTGAAGTTGAAATCAAAACTTGCTCTAAAACTCAAGATATACACTATTAATAGTAAGTTTATTCAGGTATACTTAAATACAGTTACGTAGATTATCATAGGAACGTGTGTATAGAGCCTGGGATAACCCCCCAAAAAAGTCAGCGACTTGTTTCCATTCTTCAGGTTGTAGATGTTATAATATCGGACAATTACCATAAAATGCTGTCTCCCCCCCCCCCCCCCCCACCGAGCGCAGTATTATTTTCTGTGATGGACTGATAAAGCTGCTGGTGAGCGAAACGTCTCCATAATAAAGAGGCCCAAGTGTTGCACATGTCTTACATCTGTTCATTTGTGTATTACATGTCACACCTCTTAAAGGAGCGCCTCCTTTAAGGGCTGTGACGCGCTGAATCCCAAAGTTGCCTAAAATTTCTAAGCCAACGCATGGTATTTCTTATCAGTTCCCAGATTTTTCTCGAGGATTAATCGCATGCTATAAGAGCCAAGGTTGTATATAAAAGGACGTCTCTATTGGATACGTATGTCCTGTGACTTCGGAATGACCAGGATCCATGACGTAAGCGCATCCATGTTGTTGGCATCAGTCCACATAACTTCAGACCAGTGACGGGACAGTCTGTTCAATCTGTGGCTTGTGAGCATAACTCACCTGGAGTGTACCTCGAGGGGGGTTTATGCTCACAAGCCACAGACTGAGCAGAATGTACCGTCAGTGAGGTGGTTGAGGTGTTTTGTACGTGGACTACGGTAACCTGTTACAGCATAGACAACTACCCTCTCACGGTTTTCCTGAAATTCCGTTAAAGCACGTCTCTCCCGTTGAAACATTTCTTTCATGCCACTCATAAAGTCGCTACTCTCCCTAGCAAAGTGAAGAAAATCTGTTTTAAACGCTGACACTTACTCCCCTTAGAGCGGTACATTGGGACAGACATCCTTTGGCAGTTTCGTTGGGGGAATGGGAGAGATTGGGAATAGGTTGCTATCACCTGCAGCTCATAAGACTGCCATCCCCACGAGCCCCTTTGGGGCGGGGCAGATGGCAGACCAGAGGCCTAGCTTCTCCCTACGAGCCCCGTGAGAGCGGGGACTGTGGCTAGGCCTGGGGACAGATGGTCCCAAAGATGAGGGGGTACTTGTACCTCCTCCCATGGGAGACTTAGGTCTCGAGACACTCCCCAGATAGGGAGCCAAGGCCGGGTCACCACTACTTGGAAAAGACCCGGGCCGGGAGAGTACCGGCGAAAAAAAAAATAGAGAGATTGCATTGCCTTCATGTGGGGAGCGCTATACCTTAAGGGAGGTTCCTTGACGTTGGTGTGGGGAGCGCTACACCGTAGGGGTCATCCAGGGTGTTCCAAGGAAAAAAGGTCCAATTCCTTTGATCAGAAGCCTCTCATAAAGGCATCAAGGCGCATCCCTTGAAGGGAGGGGAATTAGAAAAGCGAAGAAATTGAAGAAAATGATTAGAAGATAGAGAACAGGAGATAGGCAAGGGAAAGACAGGTGGAGAGGCTGTCATTCTGATTGGTTCGTTATCTCACAGTAATGTCACCGAGTGTCTTATCTAATGTGAGTGTACACAGGATAGACTCTGCTCGGCAGTGGTTGAAAATAGAATGTTACTGTCTTCTGAGAGTTTAAAGCTCAGCGGAAGGTACTTGTATTTGTTGTGTTGCCTGTCTGTTGTGTGTTGCCTGTCTGTTGTGTGTTGCCTCTGTTGTGTGTTGCCTGTCTGTTGTGTGTTGCCTGTCTGTTGTGTGTTGCCTGTCTGTTGTGTGTTGCCTGTCTGTTGTGTGTTGCCTGTCTGTTGTGCGTTGCCTGTCTGTTGTGCGTTGCCTGTCTGTTGTGTGTTGCCTGTCTGTTGTGTGTTGCCTGTCTGTTGTGCGTTGCCTGTCGTGCGCTTGTTGTGTGTTGTCTGTTTATATTCGCCTACTTATAATTATAGTGATTCAACTCCCTTTTCAGCCCCTTTTCTCCGCTAACCTCTAATGTAATTACTCCTTTCATGGCTGCACGAGCACTATCATACCTAGTCTTAAAACCATGTATATAAAGATAATTTCATTTCCTGACAACTCTTAAGGTTAAAGTAGTATTTACTAACATCCCCGTAACTCCTCTGTATTTGTCGGTGTCATCGTGTGGTGACAGAGACCCGTCTCTCAAATCAGTATTTATAATATCTCTCTTTCTACAAGTACATGTACAAGGTATACAGACCTAGCTGACATCATTGACTTAATTTGTAGAAAGTCCCTTGTTATGCAGAGCATTTCGGGAAAATTAGGTCAGTTTTGTCCCTGGACAAGCACTGGACAAGCACCTAAAGTCGGTTCCTGACCAGCCGGGCTGTGACTCGTACGTTGGTTTGCGTGCAGCCAGCAACAACAGCCTGGTTGATCAGGCTCTGATCCACCAGGAGGCCTGGTCACAGACCGGGCCGCGGGGGCGTTGACCCCCGGAACTCTCTCCAGGTAAACTCCAGGATGCGACCCACACCAGTCTACTAACACCCAGGTACCTATTTTACTGATTGGTAAACAGGGACAGCAGGTGTCTTCTGGAAACGCCACCTAATATTTTCCCCGTACCGAGGGATCGATCTCCGGACCTCAGTGTGTGAACTGATTATAAATACGAGATAACTGACAGTAAAGGAATACTTAGAGAGGAAGAACTTCCTGTCGAGAGGGCTGGGTGTACACAAACATCTCAGGAATCCTGTGTGACGGGTGTGTGGGAGAGGCAGTGACTTTCTAATGTTTTGTTAGGTCCAGGGAGGCAGGTGTGGGGGTCGAGGTGTGGGGGTCGAGGTGTGGGGGTCGAGGTGTGGGGAGGCGGGGTGAAGGAGGCAGGTAACATAGGCACAGTGATGGAGGGGAGGTTGGGGTTCAGTTACCAATGTGAATATTACTTTTTCCAGTAAATAAACCCAAGATTTCAGTCTCATATGCGCACGCAAGCAGGCGCATATCCCCCCGCCAACCCCCCCCCCCACACACACACACTCTTGATAAAGGGTATCACACATGTCGTAAATATTTGCACACAGCTTATCACCATCCATTAGCAAGTTCCGACAAACATTAGAGTGCTTCGCTGTCCTCTTCTAGATGTAGTTGTGGGGGTGTTCCAACATGCTGCAATTTTCAACTTGTTTCAACCATGTTGGTTCTCTTGCAGCTCTGTACACAAGCTGAGAATTCCCCTCGCTCTTGTCTGTGTTTATACAGGGAACCAACAATGCTGGTCTCCAGTACCTGCCATACCTCACACACAAATACACGTTATTTTGATTTTTCTCCTCTCCTTCCTACCATTTGATTTCCGCAAGTGTAGGATAAATAATGGATTTCAGGATGGTAGTAATATGTAACCAATACTACCGTATTGGTTACAGTGAGGAAATAACAGTAGTGGTGGAGATAGGAGATAATGGAGATTATGGAAATAGCAGCAGTTGTGGTAGCAGCAACAGCAGCTGTACAAGTAGCAGCAGTTGTGGTGGTGGTAGCAACAGCAGCAGCTGTACAAGTAGCAGCAGGTGTGGTGGTAGCAGCAGCTATACAAGTAGCAGCAGTTGTGGTAGCAACAGCAGCTGTACAAGTAGCAGCAGTTGTGGTGGTGGTGGTAGCAACAGCAGCAGCTGTACAAGTAGCAGCAGGTGTGGTGGTAGCAGCAGCAGCAGCAGCAAGCTATACAAGTAGCAGCAGTTGTGGTAGCAACAGCAGCTGTACAAGTAGCAGCAGTTGTGGTGGTGATAGCAACAGCTGTACAAGTAGCAGCAGGTGTGGTGGTAGCAAAAGCAGCAGCTGTACAAGTAGCAGAAGGTGTGGTGGTAGCAACAGCAGCAGCTATACAAGTAGCAGCAGGTGTGGTGGTAGCAGCAGCTGTGCAAGTAGCAGCAGGTGTGGTGGTAGCAGCAGCTGTACAAGTAGCAGCAGGTGTGGTGGCAGCAACAGCTGTACAAGTAGCAGCAGGTGTGGTAGCAGCAGGTGTGGTAGCAGCAGCTGTACAAGTAGCAGCAGGTGTGGTAGCAGCAGCTGTACAAGTAGCAGCAGGTGTGGTGGCAGCAACAGCTTCACTAGCAGCAGCAGGTGTGGTGGTAGCAACAGCAGCAGCCGTACAAGTAGCAGTAGAAACATAAGCACAAGTCGTAAGGGTGAATGACTCAGAGACACTGAGAAAAATATTGGTATTAGTCAGGATAATAAAGGCAGTAATGGTGTTGATAGTTACTGAGAGCCGTTGTGGGAGTAACTGTGGGCAGTAGCAATAGTGGTACCTGGGAGAAACAAACCATACCACAGGTGGGGTTAGAACCCGCGATCAGAGAGTCTCAGAGCAACGTCAATGACGGATAAATAACTGTACTAGACAATCAAACCAAGCAGATTTGAGATGGGAAGAGACAGGAAAGACTCCACGAACGAATGGGATGGAAGTCTAGCGTTACCACGTAAGCAATGACGTAAATGAGGCAAACGATGCAGTGATGGGATCACATGAGCTGTCCCTAGTGCACCTCGGGAAGACAAATCAGAACGATAACTAAATTATAATACCCAGGCAGATGTCATGAATTTTATTCGGAAAAAAAATGGAGGGTGTGCCATCGCGAGAAGTTTACAGGTGTTTTAAGAAAACGCTGGATCCATAATAAATATATATATATATATATATATATATATATATTATATATATATACACACGAAATTGGTTCTATTTTTGAAGCCCCCTGTATATCCGAATTGTCCAGATTAAAGGCTTATTAGAAAATATAGTATTTGCTAAGTAACTAAAAGAATTTGCATTAAAAGAAGTGTAATTTTGAGCTGGATGGTCAGATTACTTGGCGCTGCGGAGGCGAAAATTTAATATCACTGAATTATTTAAATAAAATTTAGAAGCTGGCACTTATTGAACTTAAAACCAGATTATTTTTTTTATATTACAAATACCACCGGTGCTGTCAGACTGAAACCATTCAAAATCTTTAGCAAAAGCCGTCAGTTTGAATTCGTTGAAGAGGCTTTCGACAGTTATGTAAATAAAATCAAAATTATAAATTCTTCATATTTTTAATTACAAAATTTTGTCAAATAGTCCCAGAGAAAAGAAATAAGTCATTTCCTCAATATATTCCCCACTAAACCTCTACCCTACCCTTATCCCCTTTGTCACTTAAATATCCTAGCTAAACCATAGCCCCTTGGAACACGTACGTCACTGGATCTTTATTGTGGCCAGCGAGGGGCTTTTGATCCAAGGATATGGACCTGTCTTCTGAGGCACAAAGTCAATACCATACCCACTTTTCTCTACCTTTCTTCTATCACAAACCTATATTTTTCTCTCTTCTGGAAGCCGCTTAGGTTTCCTCGCTTTTGGTGAAGGGCTCTTGATCCAAGCAAACTGAACTGATTACCCTCTTCCCCCTCCTTTACCCTAGTCCACAGGTGCTGGATCGCCTTTGTGGATTCAGCGAATATTATTTGGTTTAAGAGATAAACTAAAAGAAGACAAATGATGTAATATTGGTAGAATTACCCACAATATGTTAGGTAACAGGACACAAGTACAGCTAATGTGACAATTTATTGTGGCAACGTTTCGCTCTCCAGGAGCTTTGTCAATGATTTGTATTGTTTGTAATTGCTTAACAAAGCTCCTGAAGAGCGAAACGTTGCCACAGTAAAATGACTCATTAGTTGCACTTGCGTCCTTAATAACTTTATTAACTACCAGTACATGTACAAGGTATACAGACCATAAGTGACATCAGTGACATACTACTAGTATATAGAAAGCCGCTTGTTACACAGAGCATTTCGGGCAAATTAGGTCCTTGTCCCAGGATGCGACCCACACCAGTCGACTAACACCCAAGTACCTGTTTTATTGATGGGTGAACATAGACAACCGGTGTGAAGAAACTCCTAATGTTTCTACCTTCGCAGGGAATCGAACGCAGGCCCTCGCCGTGCGAAGTGAAAGCTTTAGTGATCAGGTCACGGGACACCGTAAACAAAGTTAATATTTACATGGAGTTTACCTGGAGAGAGTTCCGGGGGTCAACGCCCCCGCGGCCCGGTCTGTGACCAGGCCTCCTGGTGGATCAGAGCCTGATCAACCAGGCTGTTACTGCTGGCTGCACGCAATCCAACGTACGAGCCACAGCCCGGTTGGTCAGGTAACGTAACGAGAAATGTAGCGAGAAACGAGAAATGTAACGAGAGAGAGTTCTCAACAGTGACACGAGTGAAAAATCTCGTGCTGTCAGAAATATATTAAAAATAATCCCGAAAGAATTATGGGTTTTCTTTACTTTTTCCCGAGTTGTACTTGGATCCACGGGATGCATCAGCTGGGCTGATTCACGGGTCACATGTGGTCGGGACTTCCCCTCAAACCCAGGTGCCGGGAGTGCCACGTCAGTGCCACGTTAACTTCTTGAAACCCTTTCGTGTTTATCTGTAAAATTATTTATAATGTTAGTGAGAGCTTGTTGACATTGTGTTATTATTATTATTATTATTATTATTATCAAAAAGAAGCGCTAAACCACAAGGGCTATACAGCATTTGTGTTGTCCCATAGCCCTTTTTTTCATGTTGTATTTACTGTGTGGTGTTTTGGGTGTTAGATAATGTTTGGCAGGCATGTATCTTCGAATGACTTATCCAGTCCCTGCACTCAGAAAATGTAAAGAATTGCTTTAAATACGTCATTCCCTGCTTGCTTGCAGGATCTTGACCACGTCCACCTGCCCCCCACACACCACAAGTGGGGCGCCAGCCGCTTTGACAAGAATATTGGCAGAGTCATCTGTCGAGGCATGGGTTTCACTCACCTGGAAGGGTGAGTCTGCTCTTTGAGAGGTGTTACACCCACTACTTACAATCATCCAGTTTATCTTCATCTCCCTCATATTCATCCACTTCATCACCCATGTCAATAAGTTCTTGTCAACACACCCACAATCACTAATGATGATTAGCATCACGTACCTTGATTCATCAGTGTTTTACTACTAGATTAGCCTTGTTGTATGTAAATGCCTGTTTGAGTTTGCAAGCGATGAACTCTAGTTCATGGTCCTGCCACACTTTTTATCAGCATCATATAGCATGTGTATATTTCAATTCTTGTACCGAGTCTGTTTCCTATGATGCATTTGTCCAACATTCCAAAACTAGTGATAAGGAAGTGTAAACGCTTCTTTACCATTCCTGTTTAAGCGTTTTCTGACATTAGTTGTTCTTCAAACACTGCATTTTCTATACTACCTTTCCCTCGAGACTAGTTTGGTTGTGAATCTCTACATTTTCTCTAATCTCTTAATGTTTGGTGTGTGGGTTGTATGCTGGTACTGCAGACTCTGGTGCGCTTGACATATATTGCAGATCTGGATAGGAATAGCGGCTGAGGTCCTTGAAGACTTAAGTTCGCCAGTCATCCAGTCGCTCCAGAGGAAATTTGGCTAATGTGCGAGTCATGGATGTGCTTGACAATTTCTCTTATCCTTGTATGTGTTAGTAATCTCTGTTTTCTCTGTTATGTACTATTATTCTCCTTTCCTTAACCTATCCTGATTAACTTAATTACATTTGATGGTACATTAAGGATATTGACCTACTTAACACTACCTGTTGTTCAATCGTTTTATAGCTAAAACTACCAATTTTCCCACTGTTCCAGTAAGGGCTCTGTTTCCATTGACTTGTAGATTTTTAGCTAACTGTTGACAGTTTCTTCACGCTCTCTCAAGAACCCACGATGATTTGGTGTATTTATTTCACTTGGTCACAGGCCTGGTCACAGACCGGGCCGCGGGGGCGTTGACCCCCGAAACTCTCTCCAGGTAAACTCCAGGTAAACTCCAGGTAACGCCTTCACTCACTGAGTGCCGCCTCTGTTTCTCTCCGTCCCAGGGTGTACAGAGTGAAGTTGGAGGATGAAGAGATAGAGAGAACCAAGTTGACGGTAGAGTGCCTGGGTTACGAGGCACTATTATCACACTGTGTTACCTTCGATGCTAGGAACTCCACCTGCGAGTTCCTGATGGGGCTAGAGTGTGGCTCCTGCTCCAAGGCGAGTGATTCTTACTCTGCTTCTTTAATTATCAGTTCATAATCATTTTCCACTGTGTGTGTAATATATAAATATATATGTCGTGCCGAATAGGTAAAACTGGTCAATTAGCAAGAACTCGTTTAAAATTAAGTCCTTTCTAAAATTTTCTCTTATACGTTTAAAGTTTTTTTTTCATTTATGCTAATGCAAAAATTAATAATTTTGTGCCAAAAGAACCTTAGAAAACTTACCTAACCTTTTATAACAAGCGCAATTTAATTTAGCCTAATCCAACTAAATATATTTTAGATAAGTTTCCAATAATTTAATAAAAACTCAATGAAATATATTTTTTAAGTTCTGTTCAGAATGATTCTCGCGATATTATTGCAAAAACAAATATTCACTTTCTTTATTCGGCAAGAATAGCGTTGCTATTTAAGCCAAAATTTCAAATTTTACCTATACGGCATGACTTGATACTTCTCTGGTTACTATGGTAACTGACATGAGAACTGCATGTCAAACTTTTTAATTGCCATAAAAAGTGCCTAATTATTCTCTAAATTCTGTGATGTTTGCGCTATGGTTGGTGTTGCTGACGTTGTTGCTCCTGGGTGTGCTACTGACGTTGTTGCTCCTGGGTGTGCTACTGACGTTGTTGCTCCTGGGTGTGCTACTAACGTTGTTGCTCCTGGGTGTGCTACTGACGTTGTTGCTCCTGGGTGTGCTGCTGACGGTGTTGCTCCTGGGTGTGCTACTGACGTTGTTGCTCCTGGGTGTGCTACTGCTGATAATGGTACTATACTGGGAACTCAGAAAATAGACCTGATAGAAGGAGAGACTGAGGTAGTCACCAGTCCAGAGTATCCGAACTACAGTGATGATGTGATGTGTGTGTGGAGACTACAGGCTCCTGCACTCGCTACCATCACTATCAACTTCACTGACTTCAGGCTCCCCAACCTCGATAGTGAAGGTAGAGATGATAGTGATTGCATTTGTGATGAGTGTGGTGCAATACATAAATAACCCGCACATAGAAGAGCTGACGACGACATTTCAGTCAGAGTAGGACCCTTTGCAAAGTCACACTGTGACGTTGTCTGTGCAGGCTATTTGTGTACCATTGCACTCACATTAATATACCTTTTTGTTCTGTTTTGCAGTGCAGGGAAGACAACTTCGACCTAGTAAATTAAGGAAGATCGAACCTCCATTGTCTTTGTGCTGAACGACACACATGGATATAGTACTTTGAAATACTTTACATTTTTTTGTAAATTTCTGCACTTCGTACAGGTCAGTGTGCCAGAGGAGCACTGGAGGTGGCGGAGGTGGTTGTGTTGGAGCAGCAGCCAGTAACCAGGACCGTAGTGAGCATGTGTGGAGGGGCTCTACCCACACCTCTCACACTTCACGCCCAGGCGGTCCTCCTCAAGTGAGTGTGAGAAAGTGGAGGGCAGTTAGTACAGAGGATAGGTGGAAGAAATTGGGATTTTTTGAGAGAAGTGGGCTGGGGATTTTCGGCTGTTTGGGTGGGGTGAGAGGAAGGGGGGGTAGATCTCAGGTTTTATGGGGGAGAAGTGGCGAGCACAATGAGGATTTTCGGCTGTGGAGGGAAGGTGGAACTTTCATCCTCCCTAAATACGTCACTCATTATTATTGAGATGTAATCACAAGCTCGGATTAGTTACCTTGTTGACTCCCGTTAACCCACCATTCTTTTTGTCCACTATCTTAACTTCCCCCTTCCCCCCCAGGTACACTTCAGGTGTCTTCTATCCTCGTCCTTTCAGCAGACATGGCGGTTTTAAGGTCCTCGTTACAGCTAGCGCCATCGGTAAGCGCATACCTGTTTAGCCCTTTTTAAGTGGCTCTTTGATGCTGACGAAAGGTTCTCACTCTGAGGAATAGCTCTACTTTCTTCCTCTCGTTCATAACTAGCCAGACGTGTCTCCTGCAGAGTGGTCACCGGCGAGGCTGAAGACTGGGGAGGTGGTGTCTGTGGTACTGGCAGTGCTGCTGGTCCTGCTGGCCATCACCATGATCTGCTATATGTAAGTCCTCTATCAAAATGTGGTGCAGTTTTGAGTTTCTAGTTGGTGTCAGGAGCCCAGCTTTAAAGATGTCCCTTGGCTCAGTTGGTAGAACACCCACCTCACATACTGAGGGCCTCTGGTTAGATTCCTGTCACAGGTAGAAACTTTGGGCGTATTTCCCTTTGGGCATGTGGCCAGTGGTCTGGTAGGCAAAGCTTTCCCTTCACACTCTTAGTCTGTGGTTCGATTACCGGCAAGGATGGAAACATTGAGCATTTCCTTACACCTGCTGTCCATGTTCACCCAATAGTAAAATGGGTACCTGGGTGTTAGTCAACTCGTGTGGGTCACATCCTGGGACAAAATTGACCTAATTTGCCTAAAATGCTCTGCAGAACAAGGTGCTTTCTATATAGTAGTATGTCATTAATGTCAGATAGGCCTGTATATATTGAACATGCATTTGTAGAAATATTTATTATTACTTGCTACCCCTGTTCAGCTGTCATATGGGGGTTCGATAACGTGGATTGGGTAATAACACGTTGGATGTTCTAGTATATTGAGTGGAATATAGGGGGAGCACCAAGCCTTGACCTGCCACCTGTCTAACGCCTCTACTTGAACTGGCTTGCCGAGTGCCTCAGAGGGTAGCGGCATTCAAAACAAACTAGGTCAGCTGAACAGTGAATAACAAGCAATTCACACAGACGGTTAGTAGTGAGTCGTACTACTGCTAACTGGTTACTGGCAACTGGTTACTAGGAACTGGTACTACTGAGAGCTCAGCGATGCTAACGTATGTCATCCCGACATACAGCTAATACAAACTAGAGATGGCAGGCGTACGGCTTGGGCTGATTCTATACAATGTCAAAGTACACAACAACTGAACATTATAACGTACATAAGTAGAATATTGGAATGGAAGCTAACATAATGCATTACAAGGTATGATATAGCACAACTCATAGAATGAGACTCAACATTGAGATTACACAATAGAAATGATAAAAAAAAAATTGATCGATCGATCGGTATTCATGTGATCTATGGATTCTGAGGAAGGATGTGTACAAAGAAAGAAGTGTTTAACAGAAAAAGCAGACTTGATGCACTCAAATCTAGACTGTTAAATCTCAGAATTCAGAGGGAACATGACCTGGAGTTTACCTGGAGAGAGTTCCGGGGGTCAACGCCCCTGCAGCCCTGTCTGTGACCAGGCCTCATGGTGGATCAGGGCCTGATCAACCAGGCTGTTACTGCTGGCTGCACACAATCCAACATATGAGCCACAGCCCAGCTGGTCAGCCACAAAAAAATACAAAAAAAAAAAAATTCTTGAATATTAATAAGTTGATACTGTAATTATTCATCTATACAGGTTATTTACATTTAACCCCAACTCTGCTAGGGTGAGATTGACATATGCAGAATGGGTGTCATCTCTGGGAGGATCAAACTCTGATGCACTGGCTAACTCATGCTGTATTTGAGGCAAATCTGAATTGGTAGTTACAAATGATACTTGAGGATTTCTCAATACCTGTCGTGTATGTAGGGAATAACGACATTCAGGTTGATTGACTGAGAATTAGAGGTAGAGAGTACAAGATCATGAGGATTGTCAGTCTGTCACATTAGTCTGGATTGGAACATCATTATCATCACATACTAACTTCATGTGATCTAAATGCGATTCTTTATACTGACCAGTACTTTCTCTAACCTTATACTTATTGCAAGTGATATGTTCAACTACTCGATAAGGACCAACAAACTTTTGATCAAGCTTAGGCATTGCAGATGTTTTGTTAAAGTTAGTCAGCATAACTCTCGAACCTACTTTGATTTTGGATGGCTTTGCTCGAGTGTTAGTGACTCTTGTAAATTCTGCTGTTGATTTATGAAGTGTTTCATGGATTCTTCTAAAGATGCTTTGAGCTAGGCTGGTACGAGTTGGTCTGAAATCATCAGGGTTGTAATTTGTATTCGGATTAGAATATAGCAACTCGTAAGGCAAACGTTTATCTACACCGTACAATGCAATATGTGGAATGTCACCTATAGAAACATTTTAAGCAGAATTTATGGCACACTGCACATCAGGTATAACTTCATCCCAAGTTTCACTGTTGGGGTTGATAGTGGCTCTCAAAACATCAAGTACTTTCTTATTGGTTCGTTCCGCTAACCCAATGCTGGCAGGATGATGAGAAACAATGGTGGATTTAGAAATCTTGTACAAGGTACACAAATTTTCAAGAGTCTCATTACAGAATTCACCTCCATTATCTGTTACTAGGAACTTAGGGGTGGTATGCCTGCAGATAATGCTTTCTTTAAACATTTTAGCTACTGTCTCTGCAGTCTTATCTGCAATAGGAACTAACTCACAATATCTGGTGAAATGGTCTACCATAACACACAGAACATTGGAAATTAGTTAACAGATCTAGCACAACTCTTTCCCACGGTTCATTAGTAGTTGGATACACCTGGATTGGATTAGGACCATTAACATTACCTTTGTTGCATACAGACACTACATTTCTTAACATACTCAGAAAAATCAGTTGCCATAAAAGGCCAAAAGTATTTCAATCTGCTTTGTTTAACTGAACGATCCATACCAGGGTGCGCAGCACCTGGTACATCGTAAACTAGCTGTAAGGCTACATTCACTAGTGACTGTGGAATTACTAACTGGTATACCCTCCTGCTAGGAGTACCCAACTCGGCTGTTTGATACAGTAATATTTGGTTCATGACAAAGTCACTGATGGGTGCTGGTGGCTTCACAGTCAGAATAAGATCTTCCTGGAGCAGGAATCGAATCACACCAGACCACATGGGATCTGTTCGTTGAGCATTCTTTACGTCCTCAGCAGTAAATGGAGGGACTGCAGTTACTATACTAACATGTCGTGATAAAGCATCTGTGACTACATTTGATTTGCTAGATAAGGGTTCAAAGGTAGGACTGAACTCTTGGATAGTCAAGGTCCATCTCGCTAACCTTCCAGTAGGTTGTTCTGAAATAAAGGTATCAGTGGAGCATGGTCTGTCAAGACATGAACAGAGTACTGATAAATGTCTTAGAAGGGCTTGAAAGACCATATTATTGCTAAAGCTTCTTGCTCAGTTACTGTATAATTACGTTCAGCCTTCCTAAGGACTCGGCTAGCAAATGCAACTGCATTGTACTTGGTATCAGTCTTCTGAGCTAGTATGGCACCTATGCCAATTGAACTAGCATCAGTTGTTAGATAGAAGGGCTTAGAAAAATCTGGAAATTTCAAAATTGGAGCAGATGTTAGCTTTTCTTTTAAAGTTTGGAATGCTCTTTCTTGATGGAAGGTCCAAACGAAAGGAACATCTTTCTTAAGCAACTCAGTTAGAGGAGCAGCTATGGAAGAAAAATTGGCAATGAAAGATCTATAAAAACCTGCTAAGCCCACAAAGGATCTTACAGCATCAGCAGTAGTGGGAGTTGGAAAATTTAGTACTGCAGTTACTTTACTTTGGTCAGTCGTAACCCCTCTAGGAGTGACTATGTGACCAAGAAACTTGATTTCTGAGCTGAAAAATTGATATTTAGACAGTTTGATCTTTAAATTGGCTTCTTCAAGCTTACCAAGTACTACATAAAGTCTTTTCATCCACGTCTTTAGACATGACAATTACGTCATCTAAGTACACCATAAGTGCATTACCTATGAGACCTCTAAAAATGTTAGTCATGAGCCTCGAGAATGTGATAGGGGAGGATCGTAACCCAAAGGCCATATGGAGGAAGTGATAATGACCTGTAGGAGTGGAGAATGCGGTTAGCTCTTGGCTGTCCTCGTGAAGAGGGACTTGCCAAAACCCTTGTAACAAGTCCAGGGTTGAAAAGACTTTCTCCAATGTGCCTCTGTTCAGCTAGCAGTAAGTAGGCACCTGGGTGTTACTGTTGTGGATGGCATCCCTTGGGGTGGTCGTATACCATAGAGGTGAGGTAGGATTAAAAGCAAGTACTTAGTAACTCTTAGCCTGTGTAAACCGAAATGTTAAATTTGCTTGTATTTAAAATATTCAACAAGATGTATCTTCTAAACAGCTGCAGGAGAAGCACTCTTGGACGCCAGCGCAGCAGACAGAGGAAGCTGATGCAAGAACGTCTGGCCTTCCAACGACCCAGCAGCCATGACGGTATGTTATTTAGGGAAGGAAGCCAAGATGGAGGAAGGATCAGAACCAAGGAGAAAGGCATAGGGAGGGATGGAGCCACAGGGAAGAGGGATGGAACATAGAAAAGAAGGAAAATATAAATCAAATGAAGATGAGAGTGATGGTTGGAGCTTAGAAGAGTAAGGGAAAGAAGGAAGAAACCAGGTATAGAAAGAATGAGGGTGAAAACTGAGACACTGGATAGTAGAAGGGCAACACAAGGAAGAGAAGTGTTATTTGTGCTACTTAATGTTATCCCACTGAAGTTTTAAGCATTTGCAAGTTTCATTAATAATTCTCCACTTCAAGAGAACACCCGGGCTTTATTGTTACTGTTTTGGTCTGTTTTTAATCTTATAATTTAGGAGTGTTTCCTGATGACCAACCAAGGCAGACCAATTTTTTTTTAATCATGTGATAGTATGCAATACCGCCAAGTTAATGAGACGCAAGTACAACACTTAGATACCATTATTGCCTGCAATAAAAATACACAAATGTTGCACATGTGCTTAATGTAATTACCTAGGTGATATCTAAAGGAACACCAGGGCAATTTAAGGTGATAAGACTAGGTTTAATTAAAAACAAATATATTTTACAGACTAAAATAAATAGCAGATTTTCCAATAACTTGCTTATATGACCGTACTGATATAAATTCTTTGTAGATATTTCGAGAGACGAGCTTCATAAATGTCAATTACAAAATGTATCAGCTGCATATTTGCCCTATAATCTTATCAATAATAAATAAAATATCTAATAGTTATGGATAAATATTACACGTTTTCTCCTCTTCAAGGGGGGCTCCTTGGCGTGGTGAAGAGGCTCTTGGTCTGAGGAATTAGACCTATCGGTCTTCTTCCTCAGACCGAACCTAATTACCCCCCAATCTCCCCTCCCCTATCCCATCCTCCCCATCCTCCCCTTTTTCCTTTCCTCCTCCTCCTCCCCACTCCTCCCTTTTGCCCTTCCTCTTTTTGTCCTTTGGGATTTCTCCCACAGGCACGCTAGTTCCTAGGTAGAGGAAAGGACACCGGGGTCGATCCCATTCCGTTGAGGTTTCTTGGCGGTGGCGTAGTTTGCCGTGGAATCTGGATTGCCTAGGGATGTCCCGATCCCTCTCCGGTATCCCGGAGTAGCTTTGGGTGTCTTTTGGGCGACGGGTGTATCTCTGGAAGCCACCTTTCGGATTCCGGGGGTGGTGGCTGAAGGAGGTATGCTTTGTGGGGGATATCCGGCCGCCCTCTCTTTTGTCCACCGAGGTAGCTCGGCAGATGTGAGGTTGCTATCCCAGATTGCTGGTTTACTGGCATGAAGGGTAGGGTATGGCACGGGTTCCATGCTGCATCTGCGCTACTAGCGGTGTCGAGTCCTCTTGGGCGCGGAGGGAGATTTCTGGCCCTTTCATTCCTCCTAGGAACTATCCCTCCCCGGTTCCCCCCTTTTTTTTCTTTTTTTTATTTTTATTTTCTTTTCTTCTTTCTTTTTTTTTCTTAAAAACAAAAAGAAAGAAGTAAACCTAACCATTGCAGCCCTAGTCAATGAACCTTTTAACCCCGGGCCCCTTCTTGATTCCGCACCCCGTTCTGACCCCCGCCTCGTCTTGGGACCCACTCTTCAGACTAGTTCCTACATGCCTCAGTACTTTATTGCCGGTGCTGTTTCCTCACCTGCTTAAGTACTGAGGCCTAGACTGACTCCTTGATTTTTATCATGACCTTCGAACTCTCCTTGACTATTGCTATCGGCTCTCCCTTACGGTGCGGCAATTTCAAATGCCGACCCGTTCCACGTCGGACCACTTGGGGTCCCATGCCTAAAAACGTCAACGTACAATTACCTGCTGATGATTACTTCTCCACCTTCTACCTTCTCGTTCTTCTCAGAAAAGATCGGACACGTTCCTCACTACCTTTCCTACGCTCTGTTTCAGATTGACAGTGGACTAATTTCTTCACTTTGCGACCAACTTACTTTCTGCCTATCTTTCTGACAAATTGTATTGGCAAGGCAATCCTACGCCTTGTTGGGTAAAGAATATTTCTTTTTCATGCTATTAGTGCGGTAGCGCATCATTACCGTACAGAATGCTACCCAGGGCTCGTGAGCTCTCTCGTCTTTCCCATATAGTTACTGTTCCTGTCACCCTTGAAAAACATCATTCCCCTCAAATTATGGTAGAGTGGATTTACGTTATTCTGACCCCATACTTAGTTCAACAAAATTTCCAGAACATGCGGCACGACATTCTAGAACAGCTGGAAACTCCAAGATCTCCCTATCCTCAAGGTAGACACTTCGGTCTTCCTGCCCTGGGCGGGAGACGATTCACCCTGCAATGTGTGCTCGTTTTTTAACTTTTGACAGCCGTGAACTCCCATCCTCTGTTGATATAAGCAGGGACATCGGTTACAAGTTCGAAAGGTGATACCTACACCACAACAGTGTAGAATTTGCTGGCGATTTGGCCATCCAGCGTAATATTGCACAATCTATCGCGGAATGCCTGTCTGTGGTGCCGATGACCATTTCTAATTCGTTTGCAATCGATTATCCCTCTTGCCTTAACTCGTCATGAGGCTCACCCTTCGTATCTCTCGCCGTTGTCAGGTCTATTTGTAATCGAGGGGAAGGAAATCCGTTACCTATGAGTCAGAAGGGTTCTCATTATGCCTTGGCAGCAGTTTCGTAATACTCCGCCTCCAAGGGAGACTCCAGGGTTTTTATTCCGTGTTTCAAAACGTCCCACCACTTCTGGTATCCCATCTTCTACTACCCACCGCTGTGGTTTCCTCTCCCATATTCTTCACTGTATCTAATCCTTTTGCTGTCCTCGCTCAGACGTCCTTAATATTCAACGCCTCAGTCGAATCTCGCTTCCTTCGTAGTTCTCTCTGACATGCTCAGTATCTCGACGAGACCTGCGTACGTCTCTCTGCCAATCGTCCGCTACTTCTCTTCAAAAGTCAAATAAGGTCCGGTTAACTCCAGTCCTTACCCAGCTTCCACATTCCTCTTGTGTTCCTCCCTGTCTCTGTCCCTAGTTCGTGTTCCCCTCTCCACGGGCTCAGTTTACATGTGACTGGGAGGTTCTCCCTCTACCTCGTAATAGTACCTTCCTCCCTGGTCCCTCCACATGGTCTTCACCTCTTCTGCCCAACTCCCAGGTTCCTAGTCTTTTATGGCCCCGTGCACGCTTCATCCAGTGCCCTCTCTCCCGGGTCGCCCACCCTTCCTTGGTACAGTCCTATTCAGGGCTTTCTTTACTCTTCCTCCCCCTACCTTTCACAAGATTGTCTGCCCATACGAATCTTCTGAGTTTTGTTAACACGTGATAGCTAATCTCATGTTTTTAGTGCAGAGACCAAACCTTCAATGGGACATGTTCCTACCTTCCGCTCTTTCTCTCTTCCTCATGCTCATTTGCGCAACTCCTTCTTCATCAGCCGCACCGTTCCTTCGCTGCTTGACTTTTCCCTGCCTCCGCATGTGGACTTTTTCTAAACCTCTTCCGTAGGAACCCGTCCCTGCGGATTTCAAGTATCTTTATCAATTGCCTTTTCATGGCTTTTTTACTAGTGGAATATACGTGGCCTCAGGGGTAATCGGGGTGAAGCTTTCAGATGTTACTCTCCCAGTTTGGCCCCTGTTGGGTTTGCTTAAGGAAACCAAAATTTACCATCTGTGTTTATTTCTCACATCTCAGGTATAATTTATTGTATTCTTCAGATCCTTTTTCATGATGGGACTTTAATGGAAAGGCCCTTTCTTCTCCGCACTGATTATTCCGCCCCCCCCACACACTACCATCAGCTATTTGTTCATACGCTTCGCTGCATTAACACTGCAGGCCGTAGCCCTTACATAGGTGGTATTAGGTCTCTGTTCTTTATATCTCTCTCCTTCACGGGCATTTATCTATTACGGTTTTGCCTTCCTTGTTTCGTCATTACCGCCACCAATTCTGTTACTTGGTGATTTTTATTGCCCACATTTCCTCTGGGGAGGGTGCTCACTGTGATTCCCGTGGAATTCAGTTAGAGGCTTTTCTTGACTCCCACCCCCTCCAAGTTTTAATATACAGGTGACTCACACCCATTTGATCCTCGGATCTACTCTCTCTCTGCATCGATCTCTCAGTTTGCTTCCTCCGCCGCCATTAGATCTTTTTACTTGTGTCTGTTCTCCCGGAATTACTTGACAGTGATTTCATTTCCCAATCATTCTTACTTCCCCTTATTTTTCGGCCACCTCTTCGCACCACGTGGCAATTTAATCGGGCCTATTGGAACCTTTACTCCACACCTGGACTGTTTTTTAAGAGGTGTCCTTCTTCGTCCCTCCATCGATGGGCTTTTTACACCTCTTTCTCATCCTCACTTTCACACCGCTAGCGTCTCATTCTATACCCCAAATTCGTGCTGGCTTTCTCAAAATTGCGTGCCTTGGTGGTCTCCTGCTTGTGCTCGTGCAGTAGTTTGAAACGCGCTGATGGGGCAGGGACGGTACAATTGAACCACAGAGCGGACTCTCTTGATTTTTAAACAGATGCGTGCGATCGCTCTGCCGTGTCATCCGGACGCCTAAACAGCACTTGCTGGCGAGATTATGTGACTCCCACCATCACCTCTGCTTCTCTAGCTGAGTGCATGTCTGGAAAAAAGTTCGAAAACTGAGTGGTAAATTTTCTACCTGACCCGTCCTGTTATGCGGGTTGCCGGTGTTGCTATAGCAAAAACCACTAGGATGTTGCAATGAAATTTGCAATCATCTGGTCCGTATTTCTCAGGGACTCCATCTATGCCCTCCTCATTTCTTTCCTCAAAGTCTGCACAGAGAGTTAGCACCTTGGATGTTCTTCTCTCAGAGTAAGTACAGGATAATGTGCTTTTAACTTCAAGAACTGGAGGAACACTCGCGCTTGTCGATTCTTCGGCCAGCTGGGCCCGACGACATTGCATTGCGTATGCTACGTC